AAGCTATCCCACCATGCCTGACAATACTTGGAGCACATCAGTGAGGCTAACCAGTCACAGTGCCCTCAGAGGCTTGGAGCCTAAAATCAAGGCCAGGCTGGATGTGGCTCTGGGCAGCCTGGTCTGGTGATTGGCAACCCTGCACATAGCAGGGGGGTTGAAACTGGATGACCTTTGAGGTCCTTTTCAACCCAGGCCATTCTATGAAACCCTCCCTTCCTTCCCCTGAAGGAGCACGGGGCACTGCCAGATTATCTGGGAATGTGGCAGACTGCATCAGCAGGAAAGGGGCAGAACTCCAAGGGAAGTCTTTCTTCAGCAGTGACCTTCAGCCAGGTGCCCCCACTAACTTCTTCTATGTCATTCAGCTAACAGCAGTTGCATCAATAGACACAAGATTCTGTTTCACAAGTTCGATGCTGACAGCAAATGCATAGAAAGAGTACTGGAGGGGTGGAAGAATGAAAGCAGTGATGTTCCAGTGAGACTAAGAATCAAAACAGAGCTTTAAACAAATGGTTCCTGTGGGACCAGCAGATTCACAGCAACCAGTTTGGAAAGATCATATGCAAAATGAAATGCTATGCCTTGTGGTGGCTCCTGAGAGCCCACATTCTGAACAGAAACATGAGTTGAGAAGTAGAATTGATGAGGTTTTGCAGACTTGAAGTACTTTTTGAAAGGTGCTGGAAAAATAAGTCATTTTAGGGCATGCAAGGAGTTTTAATATACATAAGAAAGTGAAGATGCGAGTAACAGAGCACGGAGGCTGCCTGTTACAGGGCAAACAAGGCCTCCGGGCAGAGGCGCAGCGTGTCCCCAATGACCTGGGAGCCCGGGGCGAACAGCCGCCCTTATAGCGACGAACGGAGCCGCACCGCTCCGAGTCTGCGGCGTTTCTCCTTCATCGAGGAGAGCCGCAGCGCTCGGCAGGACGGGCATGGAGGGAAGGGCTCCGCGCCGCAGGGAGCCCGGGGGAGCCGCCGCCATTTCGAGATCGCCTCCGCCCGAGGAAGCCTCGAGCCCCAGCCCCCTCCCCCAACCACCTCCCGCGGCCCCTGAGCGCGGCGTCGCCACACGGAACGGTACCGACCATGGCTGGGAGCAGCGAGCCGAGCGGCAGCCTCGAGGTCACCTCTACGGCGCGACTGCGACCGCCGGCGGCGTCGCGCTAGGGCACCGCGGAGGGGCGGGGCGCGCCGCGGCGCGCAGGTGAATGGGGACTGTAGTCACGAGTCGCGCAGTCCTGCATTGTTATGGCGGGGGCTGAACTACAAGTCCCAGAGTGCCTTGGGGCACGCAAGCCCAGGCCCCTGCACGCTATTGGCGCCGTTTTCCCGGCGCCCCGCCCCTCCGGCCCGTTCATTAATCCCGTCCGTCCCCGCTAGGGGGCAATGAGCGGCTCCGAGAGCTGCGCATGCGCTCCGGAAGGAGTGTGGTTATGGCGGTGTTGGCTCCTGGGTTTGCGCATGCGTCAGACGGAGGAAATTTAAGAGGAGCCAACTGTGCGCAGGCGCGCGAGGGGAGGGGTCCACACCGGCTGTAGAGGAAGGAAGGGGACGTCGTGCGTCGCGAGAATTCGGGGCTGCTGCGCGTGCGCAGGTAGCGGCGCTGCGGTGGTTGCTAGGCAACACTGCAGCGGGAACGGCGTGCGGAGACGCGCGGGATTCCCTCCATCTCCCCAGGCCCTGCCGTCTGCACGGTGCTGCTAAGGGCCTCAGCACGGCCACTCTCCTCAGACCCACTCGCCCCGGCGTCCCCCTGCCTTCCTGCCCGGCTGGCTCTCCGTGCTCTGACACGCTTCTCTCAGGGGCGGCCTGTGGTTGTGCTGCGGGCTGAGCTCTGTCAGTGAGCTGCTGGCATAACCGCACCGTGGATTGTTTTCTTCCTCAGGCCTTGACAAGGTTCCTAGCAGAACAAATCCTGTAATTTAGCTTAGCCTGTGCCGAAGGCTCACGTGCTCCGACATTTTTCAGCAGGATTAGTTTTTAATCCTATTTAGCCCCTTACAGGTGATTGTTTTAACACCTTGGGCAGCACTTGGGCTGACTTCTGTCAGTTCCTCAGTCAGAAAGCCTCCTTTGGGGCAGTGGTGTTAAGTGTAAACACGAACACACGGCACGCAAATGTTCTCACTGTAGCGAGCCTTGTTGCTAATCGTCCTCGTGCCACAATCCCAGGCTTCCCGTGGTTTGATCGACCGACCCTCTGGCAGCTCCTGAAGTATCGGAAGCAGCGGTGTCAGGGTTCAAAAGGTATCGTGATGCTGAGTTTGTTCTCAATCTCGTACTGCTCAATGCTGATTTATACTGCCTAACAGCGATACGTTTGTGCTGTGAATGAAGATTGAACTGAAGTTCTGGTCTGGGGATGAATTTAAAGCCAAGCAGCTGCAAACGAAAGCAGAGGTCTGCCTTGCTGTGAGAGGTGCCTCAGCAGTGCCAGGGAGCTTGTTGTCCAGACAAACCGTTCCAGAGCATCCTTAGATGCTTTACACCAGTAACTCTGACCTTTTTTTGCACCCACACTTCATACCGATTTAATTGAGGTTATTTGAGATCTAAATTTACCCAAAAGTTGACATGGGCCCGCATAAGGTGATTTTTCACTAAGCATTATCAGTTATCTTCAAGTTGATTGCTTATCAGTTTTCAGCAAAATCAGTATAAGCGTGCTATAAACTGATCTGTCTGCCAGCATAGCATTAAACCATTGGTTTAATGGATTTCAGTTAAGCTAGTCGAAGTTTCTTCTGTAGGTAAGGCTCTGTTTTCATTCTCCATCCTTTTCTGCCCAAGCTTGTGCTCGTTAGTTTATTGCTGGAGATAACATACCTAACGTTGAAACTGATTTGTAGTGAATGTTTGTCAGTTTATTTTAAATATGTTCCTGGTATAATTAGTCCCAGATAGAGTAACATCGGTTTAAGACTGCACTGCTTTTTGTGATGTTTTAACTGAAGGCAACGTTGAAGTTTTTCAAGTTAACGAAACTTAATAGTTCTGCAGTTCTTTTTTCTGGGCTTAAATAGTGTTTCTGTTTGTTAGAATTTTTTGTCTTCCAAGCAAAATGTAACCATACAAAACTAAGCAAAAGAAAGGACAGATGCTTTCTTTTCTCCATCTTTTCTTTTACGTCTCCTTTTCTTGGTGTTTATTAGCTTTTTAAAATAAATCTGCTTCTGGATAGAAATTCTTCTGGTGTTTTGGCAGCATGTGTTGGTCCTCAGTTGTATTCCTTGTGCTGTTAAATCATATCATTGTCTTCAGATTGTTGGTGCTGTGGGGATCTATGAATAACAAATACACTGAGTTTCTGCATGCTAAATCTGTGCTCTCTTTTGTCCTCAAGGCATGTGCTGTATTTGTTATTTTTCTGATTTTTTAGCCTTAACACCTTTTCAAAGCTCCAGAGAAGTTCATTCCAAATCTAATGCCGTTTTTCCTGTCAATGTTTTCACAGTCTTCAGGTTTCCTTGTGGGATATTTTTTTTTATCGTCTCAGAATATCCTTGCTATTTTACATCTTCAGTTGCCACTATTTCTGAGGTGGTGAGGTGTCGGTGTCATTTTCTTAGTCTTCTTCAATGAATCTCGCATGTTTTATTACTGTATGTCTTTTGTGTAGAGCTGTAAGCCAAAAAGCTGCAAAAGTGGAAACAAATTAAGTGCAAAAGAAGTAATGAACTTCATTGTGCACACAGATTAGGCATTCAGGTATTTACTGAAATGCAGTTTACAGACTTTGCATTCACTAACATTAAGTAACATGCAGATTGGTGTAACTAAACAACGCAATTAATACTCAAACTGTTTTGATCTCTATCTTGTGGTGATTAAGTATTATTTTTCAAGGCTCGTAGTGTTGAAGTGTTTTTATTAATTCCAATTTAAAATGAATTATTCTCTTTTAATAGCTGTCAGTGTTCTGTAACTATAGTTTGGATCAGCTTTTTTTCATTGCTATCTATAGAAATCGCTGAATTATTTTTGGTAAGTTTTTATACCCAATTTTCAATGATTTGTGGAAGCTTTTTTATCTTCTCCATGTATAATACAGTTTTTCTTTCTAAACGTACTTGCTTACAGTTTTTATACAGAAAAGTGAAAGTAATTCTTCGAAATGCTTTATGACCTTGTAAAAAACAAACAAAAAAACAACTATATAATTGCTGGTTTAAAGCCCAGAAACAATAGTAGAATTTGAGCACTTTTTGAAGCCTATCCCAGGAAAGAGATTGAGAGGACCAGAAGTCAGTTTTTAAGATGACAGGGAACCTGCAAGAGTTTGAAACAGGACAAAGTTGTAGGTATACGAAAGAACAAAAAGAATTGTGGCTTAAAAAGTGAAGGTGGGTAAGTGCATGAAGTGCTGATGTCTTATACAGGGCTTTTTTTTATATTCCCCACTCTAATGGCCAGAATCTAATTTTTTTAGTGTTCATTTCTAAACTTCAGCTATGTGATCCTGCATGGGTGTTAAATGTCATGAAGAAGCTGGTGTTTCTAGACCTTCTGCTAATAACCCTGATTTTTATTATTTTTATTATTTTTATTATTTTTATTATTAATTATTTTGCTGTAGTTCAGAAAACATTCTCAAGTAGAAGTTTTGCTTTCTGTCTGTGGAATCTGTTTCAGAGATATGGCTTCACTTCTATTGTTTTTAATAGCTCGGGTATGTTTTTATGTAATTACAGGTAATTGATTATTCACTGATTGCATTTAGAAAGCCTCTAGTATTTTAGTAGGTGGGTGGGATGCCATGTATCAATATGCCTGCTATGAAGAGCCTCCTGATGCATAGCACACTTGTAACAGCTATTCATAATCTTCACAAACTACCAACAAATCAGATCTTAATTAAAAATGTGACCAGATTTCTTTTTTTTTGTTGCTCGTTTCTATGTTAATGATCCCAACACCTGTTACTCATTTGGCAGAGATCACACCAACTGTGTAAGCCTCCCATGATGGTCTCTGTGTAGGTGGATCTGATGCACTCGGTGTGATGCACACAGGCCTCTGGAGATTGGAGTGCAGCTCAGGTGTGTTTGCTCTTGCAGGCTTTCTTCACTGACTTGGGGCTGCATTAGTACAGGGGCTTGGTAATAACTACTCTGTTGTAGGTAAAGCTGAGAAACCATGTGAGATCTGTTGTCATCTGACCCATTTTCAGAGGATTTTCTGCTCTCACTTCTTCCAAGTACAGAGTATTGAGTCCTCATGAAAGCGAAATAACAGTAGACACAAGGAAAGACTTGAGTATCTTGGCTGTACATTCAGTAAAGTTGAACTTCTGAATTGTTTTGAACAGGAGAATTGCATTCTTGGTGTATGAGAGTCTTCCTAGTTTCACTCCTTTAATAGAACTTGGTACTTTTCTTCATTACACAGACACTTGTACACCTGCATGGCAGTTTGGGTTTCCTCAAGTCAGTACATGGGAGAGGTTGGTTGTTGTCTAGCTTTGTAGCTTGAGTTAATGAGGTGGTACTTCCCATAGTAGTAGAGTTGAGGTGGTAGAGGTTTTCACAGACCTCTGGGAGGTGGTAAAGGGAAGGAGGGAAAAGAATGTCCTTTGTAGTGCATTTCTTTGGTTCATTTGATTTTTGGAACGCTATGAAATTGTTTACGTGGTCAGTTTCCAAGGCATATCCATAGCACTGCTGTTCTTGAGGAATTCAAAAGAAGGTTATACCAGCCTGTTTTCATAGCTCAGTAAAACCAGTAGCTTAATGTGCTAGCTGAAAGCGTGTGAGTAATTGAAGTGTTTTCTAAACAAACATCTCAGAACTACTGGTATTATACAATAGCTTCTTCAGTCAGTTGCTTCTTGTTTTACAAAGTCTCGTGAAGTGTTAATGTGTTAGGTTAGTTTCCTATGGAAGATGTATGCAGATTGTATTTCTCTTAAGAATTGAATTATTATCTGCAATGTCAATAAAAATACCCAAGGAGTGAAAACCTTACAATGGCTTACAATGTAGAGTTTTTAAAGTTTGTTTTTTGTTTTTTTTTAAATCCATTCCTTACAGAAGGGAAAGTCTGGGAAGACGTGGAGGAAGTATTTCATGTGAAGTCACAGTAGTTGTACTTTCTAAAGCAGCATTCTGGGCCATTCTGAGAGGAACTGAAAGGCTTGACATAGAGGGGAACCAAAGAGCAAGTCAGCATGTGCCTAGTAGGGATAAGGGATCCGTGGCTGTGGAAGAAATCAGGAGCATCCTGTGCTTGTAATCTGGATGCAGATGATGGAAAAGAAAGCAGCTGCATCACCGAGTGAAGGAAGTTTCCCTGTGAAGTAATCAAACAAAGGGAATTGTGTGGTTAGGTTTTTTTTTTTTTCCTGCTTTGTTTCTAGAATGATACAACTGCGCTTCATTTCTTTTTTAGGTTTAATTTGCAGTCTGCCTTTAGTTCTTTAGCAGCTATTATGATGGTTCACTAACATACAGATGCTGAAGAAGTTGGATCTTAATTGAAGGAAAGCCTTTTGAATGTTTGGAGTTTCTAGGGGAAAGATGCTACTCTTCCAGTCTGTACTTTTAATATGGACAAAACCATTTGGACTGGATGATCTTTTAGGTCTTTTCCAACCTTGGTGATTCTATGTATATTCATTTCCTCACAGGTAATCCCATTTATTTACAGTAATAGACCAGATAATGATTTTCAAGTTGCATTCTGTCTCATCTGAAAGACAGTAAAGTATTGCTATGAAATTTGCCTTTTATAGCTGCCTGACATCCAGGGTCTCCCCTCAGTGTATTAGTCAAGGGAACGAGAAATGCTCTACAGTTAAATTATGGGTTTGAATCTCCAGGTGGTGCTTGAATTCATGGTTAAAGACTGTAGAAATTAATTTTGCTAAAGCAAGAAACAACAGGACATTGAGCTACTGTGCCAGCTTTAGATGTATGCTTCAAAAATTTTTTGCTGCTCAGCATTATTCAGTAATCTTTAACTCAAATTGCAGGAAATATTTGAAATTCCATTCTAACAATATCCAACAGAGAATATTAAAGAAGCATTAAATTTCAAATGCCTGAGGGAAAATGTTCTCTTGCAACACCGTGGGCACTTGGATCTCCATAGTACATGCAGTATTATAGTCTAATATTATGCTTTACTTGCTCTAAAATGAAAGCCCAATTTTAATTCCATCTCCAAAAACTAGGCGTACTGCAGTGAAAAATAATTTATTTGAATGTTGTTTCTTTTTAAATACATTGCAACTAACCTTAAAGCTTCCTCACATGAAACTGCCACTGTGGCTTTTTGTCATCTTTCATTCAAACTTGCAATGCGCTCTCTAAGACTTGATCCCAGAGCTTTCATTGCTAACTCATGAGTTGTCAGACCCCAAAGTTACCACAGAGGCTTTTTTTTTTTCTCATTCTATGCATTTTTTTCTTCTCATAAGACAAATATTTAGTATTTTATATTGCTTTGGTAAATGTATAGAACTCCAAAACCAAGCATGAATGCGCTCCTTGGAGACAGGTCATATGCAAACACCAAATGTTGCTTAATGATAATATCTACACAAGTCTGGAAGAATTAATTTGACAAACCTGTTAGTGAACTTAATTTTTTTAAAAAAAAGTTCTAATTGCACCTTTATTGTTGTGGGTTTTTTTGTTTTTTCTTTAAGTTTAGTTTTAGGCCTTATTTGATAGCAAAGCTATTTCCAAAGCAAGTCCTCAGCTTACAAGATTCTTCTGAAAAAGAGGAGAGTAATTCCAAAATGGTTACAGAATCCTTAGCATGTATTCCTTATCCTGGGATTAAGTGTGTCTGTGTTTGGCAGAGCAGCAAAGTGCTGCATTTCTGTTGGAAAGTTTGTTGGTGACTTTTCTTCTTTCTGCTTTTACCGAGGTAGACGTGAAGAGTGTCCAGCAACACTCACAGGTCAATATTTTGATTGTTCAGATCTAGGTAGAGTTTCATGCTAAGCAGTTTTATAAATAGTGCTGCCTGTGGAATGGTGGCAGTGTGACTTGCCTGACAAACCAGATGGGAGATGTTTTAAAGACTTAAGAACTGCAGAAAGAATTTGAAAGGACAGAGATCTCCATGTGGCTTAAGATGCACGATAAAAGCAGTGTAGTACATGCTTTTGTCCTTCATCATGTGGATATCAACTCTGGGTATGCATGTATATAATGTATACATTAGTCTCACAGTACAGTGTAGCTGTGTGAGATATGAATTAGTGAAACTTTGCTGTAAGGCTGACTGCAATACTAGGCTTGTGTCTTGGTGAATTAACTTCACTTTGCTGTAATGAAAGTACTGGAATACTGCAGCCTTGCTGTGAGACCCTCTGTCAGTGCTGGGAGTACCAGTGGCACCTGCTGGCACTCTGTTCATGGGCTCTGACCCTGTTTTGTGGGAGCTGAGGGCTGTGAAGGCTGGTACGCTGCCTTTTTCCATCGTAGCTGCTGTCAGCTGCTTCCAGCCATACTTCTGTGTGGGCAGAGTGAGACCCATTTTGCAGATGCATTTACCATTGTATAAGGAATGAGGGAGGACTGCCTTTGAATTCACCTCTTAAAAGGTAAGGCGTCCACCTCGGGGCAATAAAGTCTTATTGCTATCTAGCTTTTCAGTGTAATCACCAAACTCTTAAGAAGTACAGTTTTTGAGAATATTCTGCTTTGGAGGAAAGCTAGGTGGCTCTGTAAATGTCAGGACCATCTTTTCTGACAAATGGAAGGCTTGTAAGAGACTTAGTGTTTTAATGTAATTTCTAAAGCCTTCAAAATCAGTCATATTATATGGCTTTATCTCCAGTTTTATTGTCAGGAAAATGTTGTGTAGTTGTATTTCTTTGCTAATGATTTTATTGAGTACATATTAAGCGATTAAATAATCACATGAAGTTAAACAGGGGCAAATGTAACACTTGATGTGTGAATGAAGCTATTTCAAGTTTCTTACCTGAGCTGTGTGTTTCAGTGGGCACTTACCTGTTCATTGTTGCCTGAAGCAAGCGTGATTCAGGAGCTGCAGGAAGGTGCCCACCTCCTTGTGCCTTTATGGTGTCACTTGTCCTCTGAAGCAGAATGGTGAACAGTCTTCCTGCGCCTGAAAGAGTTGCATTCCTTAGTAAATAGAATTACTATATTCACAGTGAAGCAAAATTCTATGTGATAGAATGTCAGCAAATGAGGTTGGGACAGAATTTAGGTGAAAGCTCAGATTGTTCATTAATGCTGTGTTGGCAGAGTTCCATACGTGTTGGTAGTCTTGTTAACTTCATTGATTTCAAGTGATTACAGAGGTCTCTTCCTCTGGAATTCAGTGTAAGGTTGGTACTGGACAATTCATAACAGTGCCCTTCATGAGGTAGAATACAAAAGTCAGACTGATAATGAATCAGTAGCCATTTAATTGTAATAAATGCTCAGGCTGTAAGTGGAACTTATTTCTCACGGGGCTGTTTGATTTCAAAATAGCTTGATTGCTTGACGTTTCATCAAAGGGAAATTAAATATTTAGATTGCAGTAAGATCTGTCTGATCTGTCTTCTTTGGCACGTGTCAGTAATGTTTAGCTGTCACCTTCCAGCCTATGTAAACTGGTGATTCTGCCTTTATTTCCAACTTCATTTTTCAGAAAGTCTCTTCACTGGGATTGAATTGAAGTTATTGTCATGAAAGGAAGTGCACTACTTGGTGAATGGGGCGAGGAAGCAGAAGAGTGAAAGTTCTGCATCTTTTTCTCATGTATATCAAATTTAATCATTCATGGATTAGTATGAAGAAACCTTGGAGACTAATGGAATGAAACCATTCATGGCCTTCTTTTGAAGGAACAAATAGTGATGATGGTAAAATACTGCTGCCTCTCTTAATACATGAAGGTAGTTGAAAAAGAAGTATCACACAGAGGTATAACAGCAGCCATAACTTTACTTTGAGTAAACCCAACTCAAAGATTTTGGGGAAAAAGAATATACATATAAAAGAGAACTCCTAATATTTGATCTGCCAGAAAATACTTTTGTAAAATAAAGACTTCTAAAAAATAGAGAAATCAC